TAATCAGTGAATAATTACGGCATATTCGTTTATTTATTTTCGAGATTGGTTAGCTCTTTATGATAAACATTATCTTTTAGCTTTTGAGCCTTGAAAAGTAATGCAATTGTGTCAGATCTGAAGAGCTGAAATTGTAGTTATGCTACGTGTTCATTATGTTCACTTTAGTTGCAGATTTGGGAATTTCTCATTAAGAATGCGAAATGCAGCATACGAATAATGACATTTTACATAGCGAGTCGATCAAAGCCAGACCATATCTACGCGGAATTTACTAAATTTATAAACGTATTTACACCTACTCACGTATATTTTTATTACTTAATATTCAGGTCGTCTATTCAGAATTGTGTGAAAATCATACCAAAATATATGCACGAATTTTGTAAAAGTTTATATTTTTTAAGTCGGATATGAAATCTTTTTTAATTCTCATGTATAAAATAATTCTATTTAAATGGTATAATAATACGTAATAAGTAATATTAGGAATTCTATTCGTTCATAGGAAATCATTAGGAGTAGGAATTTTTATTATTTTCATAAGAAAATTTTATAGACAGTTTCAAATTGTATTTTAACGTTTTTACTTATTATATATTGCCTTCTTATTGTTGCATTGTTATTTATTTATGTTTCAGAGTGAAAGACGATTGTATGTTGCAGTATCTGCTTGTTTCATTATTACAATGAGTAATGAATTTGCTTTTATAACGTCTCTGTTCAAAATAGTTATGTAATTGTAGTTTTGTACTGTGTTCATATAGGTACTAATTGTTACAAGTTTTTTCTTTTATTTCATGTCACCAGTGAGATTTCGTTGCACGATCGAACCAAAATGTTTGATACCTGTGCACTTCATCCATTTGAAGTTTAAGTAAATACATACATTGCTTTCAAGAAGTTATATGTTCAAAATATGTACTACTTGAAAAAACTTTCCGGTCTGCATTAAATTTCATTTCAAGAGTTTCAAATAGGCAGGTTATTATCATAGGGGTTTCAGACCGGAATTCGGAGCGAATCGAATATTTCTCACTTTTACTGACGTATAAAAATTTAAATGCTTTATTAGCAATATAACGACAATTACCAAATGACAAAATACAGAATGCCGAAAAACAGAAGAGACACTTTTTACTCTAAGACATTTGATATTATGATTATTGTTAATTCACTTTATTTCTTCACACACACACTTCTCAGGGTCATCACACTTCGCACTCACACTCCAGGTCATACTTTGCCTACTATTATTGTTTATCGGGCGCCGCTTGTTTACCTCAAAGACGAGTGGCTGGTGACTAAAAACACGCACAATCCTTTTTTCTGGAAAGACGGATCGCGCCTAGCGGCTCGGCTTCCTACACTGATAATGAAGCTAAATGTGTACTAATACGAAATTCATGAAAAAAATGTTGATTCTAAGTTTTGACTATTAATTTTTCACTGTTAAATCTGAACTGATCCGATTCGCCTCGATCTACCCTACATCTGTATGCCTTGTACTAATAATTTCATCATTTCCCTGTACATGAATGGTACTTCAGGCATGACCCATATATGAAAATCAGACCTAAAGAAACGATTTTTGGTATCGCTATGAAAATAATGGCCAACTTTTTCCTGAAACTTTGAGAAACTTTAAAGATGCTGAACCTCCCCGAACTTTACGCTCCTCGTTCATAGCCCGCCCTTTCTCATACTCTTCGGCTGCATATCTGTTCGATCTCACCCTCGGGCAGAGGAACCCTCTTGCCACGTTCTGAAGGAGGGTCGAACGAAGTGGGCGTCAAGTCGACGAATCGAAGGGTTTTGTGGAAGTTCCTGAAGGAACGAGGAACCAGACAGAGTTGAGTATGTGAATCATTTCCAATGACACACAGGAGGGGTTGAAATTACTAAAAGAATCCTCTAAACCAAAAATTATGATGGCAAATGTAGATAAGAGAATTTGATGGTTTGTAGATTTAATAACTAGATTACCTACAAAATTTTTGTTCTAAATTAAACAATTAAACGTATATAACGAGATAATATAGTTATCAAATATTGAGTAATTCAGTGTAATTTTCTAAACATAAGAATTATTAATTTGCTACGCTACGTACATTATTGATTGTAATTTCTACTTATATTATAATTTACAGCCTATGTTTGACATTTATGTATCAGTATTTGTATGCAAGTGCATTCACTAATAATATCAAAGTGGATAACATGTTTATAAATATTGAAAGATTTCACATTTTACACTTTTATTTTGTTAAATACCTATATTTGTAATCTTTAACGCGTTGTTACAATACGTTTACTATCATCTTTTCATTTCACATTATGAAATTAATATTATTCTCGCAAATTTAATTTTTAATTAGTTCATCTGACTTTGTTAAACAGAATTAAACACAGCCCTATAAGCTAGTTTATAAATATTGGAATTAAGGAGAAATTTCTTCCGTCTAATTACGATTGTCGAAAATTTCAAATTTGTGTGGAATTATTTAATATTCATTAGTTATGATTACTTACGATATTTAATATTCACATTGAATTTTCTTTGTTTTACTACGCTTCTGTATACGGTATTCGTAAACAAAACCTGAAAATTTTCACTCTTCCATGCTATAATTAAACAATTATTTTTTAATTTCATGTTAGTTTTTGATGAAACAAGTGGGAGTAAGTTAGAGTAATAAAAAAACAAATATGAAAATGTATATAATACATATTCTATAATAGAATAAAGTATCATTTGAAAAAAGAAAAAATTAAGAACGAATAGAACGTTGTATGAATTAATTACTGGCATTACAAATTAGTTACAATTGAATTTTAAATCTTTATAAAGGTCCACTGAAGGAATCGAATTTATTACGTGTTAGTTGTTGTAGCTATTTCTGTGATTATTGAGTTGATGAAGTAATGTTGACGTTTTTTGTACGTGGTTAACAAAAAAATGTTTCCTTCAATACAAATAATATTTGTTTTTAAACTATTTTAACGCGCATAAAGAACGTTTCTTTCTTTGTTTTCATTTAGCTTTTATTTTTTATAAAAGAACGTCAAAACTTTTGCATCAGCCCAATATAATTATATAATGTACCTAAAATGAGAATTAATTTACGTGCAATTTTTTAATACTTAAAAGAAAAATCAAGACACAAAGAATACAGTATGATCATTTAAGCCTTAGAGTAGACAGGAACTGTAAATGGCCAATGATATATGTGTATACACTCAGCAAATAATGTTGCTGTGATTTAAACAGTGCATTTATCTTTTTAGAATCATACGTTCAATATAACTTAATGACGGATATATAGTTTGTCTCCATGTGCTGTTATATCGACACTTCTTTGGACTTTCAAATGAAAGTGATTTATATTCTAGAGGAAGGTTTCTAATTACTTGTTTCTGAGATGTTCAAATAACAGAGACTAGGGTTAAAATTGTTTAACCTCACGAAAGTATGTTCCACATTTTAATATTAATTGCAGTATAAGTTATTTAATAAATGGCTGTGTAAAAAATTAAAAACATATGATTAACTCCCTGGGTATTGAATAACTACTTTAACTACCTGCGTGTTTACGTTGTACAATAATAACAAGCAGTCTTAGGATTGACAGTTACATTTGTAGATAACAATGTAACGTGAGTGATATGTTTTAAACACTTGTTTATATTCCAAACTACACTGGTAATGCACACATATGAAAGGGAAAAACGAAGGTTAAGTTTGATCTAGTAATACAAGAACACAGTTAAGAAAATTAGAAACTAATAGTTCTATAAACTATTATATTGTCACTAAAAATTAAATTGAATACTGTATTGTCATGAAATCATGAACAATATAAAATAAATGTAGCATAATAAAAATGTATAGGTAGCTAATAGAAAAATTATAATAGAAATATTGATACCGTACTTATTGAGGGTAATAAATAATATAAGCAATTTTGAAATATTATTAAACTAAAATATATAATTTCAGAAGATAATTGGTCAACACGCTACAAGGTTATATTAAATAATTTTTAAAATTGTATTCATTGACAGAGTAGATTGAGATGATAAGAAATAATGATTGACTCATTGTTCCCAACAAAATCGAAGAAATTGAAATTCCTTTCTGAGTATAAGAAAATAAATATTTTTGAATATCTTTGTTAAACAATTTAAACTACAGGAACAAAATTCAAATTCACAAGCACGTGCTATCATTACGTCTATCCGTATAGGTGTTTACATTACGTTGCACAGTAGCGGCGTAGGTTAAAACATCAACAACGTGAACAACCTTTGCCGGTATTCTTCAAAACGGTACAAATATTCGGGAACGTTTCACGATTACGGGATCAGGTGTTGGTAACGTATACGTTGCAACGAAACGTCGAAAAACGCGAGGGAAGAATTAAAAAAGCTATCCGCCGTGGGATAATAAAAAGGAAGACAGTCGGGCGAATAAGAAAAAAGGGAGACAGAAGGTAACGTTAAGGGTTGGTAAGAGTCTGACGAGAGAAGATGACGAAGATGAGGTCGAAACGAAGGGAAAGGATGAGAATCGTGAACGCGAGGACGGTAGAAGGGACCGTTCTTCGTGGGGCCGATAGTCGGAGGGACACGTATAGGAGGCGTGTTGTTCGTGTGAGTCGTTGGAAAAGCTAGATAGCAGGGTGGAAAGAAAATCGCTCGCAGGTTATTTTGCAGAAGAATTTTTATTGGTAAGTCCGCCATCTTGCCGCGGAGGTGGGGGTGTAGCGAGCGGCGGTAAGCACGCTGGGATTGGCGGTCGTCCGGGTAACGCATCCCCCGAGCGTCCAATGGGGTAAAGCAACGAATGCCTCGTGCTTTCGTTGCCGGAGCGGACGCAGGGGTGAAAGGGAGCACTGGTTATAGCCAACGAACCCCCTACCACGGTAGCGACCCCTCTAAGCGTTCTCTGTCCCCCCGCGGAGTCACCGGGATAACTGCATTTCGTGGACAGAATCCCACAAGAACTCACGGTGAGCGGTCGCCCCTCTAACACGGCCGATTCTCGTATCGTTTCGGCTTTTTCCTCTGCGTAACGCGTTATCCTACGGGCACGAAGGAAGGGCGCGAGTCGCACCGGTGGACGCTTCCACTGTTCCGGCGGTCGCCGTCTTCGCGACGCGTACACACTTCTCTCTCTCCGTAAACAGTTTTCAACGGGCACGCGCCATTTCTCCCGACAATTATTCCGATATTCGAATTTTCAACAGCGCACTGTCCTCGTGCTACTTAACCGCCCCCTCTCCCTTCCTCCTACCCTCCGGCTCCGATCCTTGTAATTGCATCGACGGGATAATAAGATTTGAATTTCGAATCGAGGCCGCGGTAGCGATAACGTCCGCCCGCGATTAACCAGCCGTGTTTTCAGACCTACCCAGTTGTTGTTCCCCTTCGCGTTGCCGTTCATTCAACATCCCTTTGCTCGTTTCACCCGGGATTTATTCAAAAAAGAAAAAAAAACAGGAAACGAACGGGACATTTTAATTCCGTTATTTTCTTTGCCGATCTCCCGATCGGGCACGCGTCGTTGTTGGTTCCCCGAAGAATGTTGACGTTCGCCGGAATTGTTTCGTGAAATCCCAGATAATCGTATCGGGAATTCAAGCCGATTGGATCGTTGGAGGCCAAGATTATGAAGAACGTAACGCTGCTAGGAAACCGAAGTCGCTGTTGCAATTAATTTGTCGCTGTTGGGAAACTGATAATCCGAGAAGAACAGAACCGAAGTCGCCAGTCTTCGACGAGAAGCTTTAACGATGGAATAAGCATGACACTGTCGTAATATAGACGAAACTTGTGGATCACTGTGCGAACTGAGAAGACTCCGTTGCTGACATTGACGGATCGAAAGCCGTGGGGACAATCCGTAAGAAGGACATACGAACGCAGGAGATTCTGAACCAAGTAGATAAAATTGTTCGAATTAACGAGTCCGATGTCCAAAATGTGTCATTGATACTGTGTTGAAGAAGTGTACTCTAGGAATATGTGTATACCAAAGGAACTGTTCTCAAGCATTTAATTGATGTTCCAAGTTTGCACAAAGGATTATACGTATTCAAGAATTTCTGCTTGATTAAAGTAAATTCTTCATGCCATACATCTGAACGATTTGATTTAACTTCAAAAATAAGGCCCAGACATCATCAAATTCCAAAGTGGGAGGTCCTTTTCGAATCTTTCGAACGAAAGTACCAACGTTCCGTCGTTTTTACACGACGAAAGAAAGAAGGAAAGAGAACGAAGGATCTAGATCTACACGAGAATTAAACAGAACACACCGGGAACCAAATAAATAAACACCAAGAATCACAGTTTAAAATTGCAAGAAATTCACGTAACGAGATTAAAAAGCTCGGATAAGTGAAGACGACAGTAGAAAATCCGGCAGATACGAGGGAGCACAAGCTAATAGTAAGGGGGACCCGTTTAATGTTGATCGTGGTTCCTCCAGAAGAGGAACGACGAAGGATGTCCTGGTAAGTCAGCGAGGAACAAGAGGGATACTTGATACGAGAGACCTCGACAAGGTCACCCCGGCATCACCCTGGCTAACGACCTGTCTGGAGGTACCGGGGGCCCCGGTGCAGGCGGCGTCGGTTCCGTCGGTGGCACCTCCGTCGGCGGAGGCGGTGGTGGCGGTTCATCGTTGCCAACGACAGCCCTCAGCCTCGACCATCAGCAGTTCAATATCTTCCCCGCGATTTTCAGCAGACAGCTGAACTTCTCTGCGGCAGCGGCTGCGAACTGTGGTCAGAACAAATTAATGGACGAACTAAGGCCAAACCTCGGCTTGCTCGGCGTCGGCCTCGTCGAGAACGAGAGTTTTCACCTGAACCATAACCAGGAGAAAAGGAAGTGTAGCAGTACCAGTTCGAACGAGCAGGACTTCGGGCTTTACGGGGTCCACCAAGGCCTCGAAGCCAGCCCGCCGACACCCGCCGCGACGCCTGGAAGAAGTAGCGTCGGAGCAACTTCTACTGTTGGTAAGTATTTTTCCATCGTGTTTTCCGATACCTCATTATTTGTTAATTTCAACGTCTACATTTCCATTGTCTTCGCTTCTCTTTTTTCGGGGTTGGGGATATAAAGCTGATCGCACGAACATTGTGCAGTGTTCGTGGAAGTTCTCAAATAGCTTTCAAAGTGCCTGTATGTTTGAGGATCGAATGCGACTAGTAACATTAACTTTTACTTGGAAAGAAAATCTTCATTGTTTTTTGAATTTAATAACAATATAAATATATAGTGCAAATATAGTGTGAAGAATATAGGTACTATATTGAAAAAGAAAAATCGTTATGGAAAATCTAATCTGATTCGTATAAGTATAAAAAATATAGAAATATCTGTAATTGAGAAAAGCGAAGGTATATAAGGTGCGGATCATATTCTCACATAGGTACAAATGGGAATTTCCGAACGATAAAACTTTTATTTACCCCGAAACTTCAACAACGTAGTGTTAATTTTGCTCTTTACTGTATAGATAATACGTTAGGCTAGTAAAACTTAAATTAAAGTCTCAACAGTGTGTAAAATTTTTGTAAATAATAATTAAAGAGTTTAAGTGGACATAAGGGCTTGAAAAATATTAAGACGAATGAACGAAAAAGAATTGCACCGGAAGTTTTTGCTAGGCTGGAAAACGTATCACAGCATGTTTGCTATCTGAGGATAACTATAACAACTTTGTTAACACAGAATCGTGGTGTCCCTCGAAAAATGAAATAGCAAGAAGGGAACGTAAAAACCAAAATAATGCATTATTTTTCTAAAATGTTACAATTGCAATATGTAAGGTTCATATTGATATTTGTGCTGAAATAGTGTCATATCTTTGACAAAACAATTAAAATCAGATTTGTCCGACATTTATTACATGAATTTTGCTTAAAAATATGTGCTGTAAGGGTGAAATTACTCATTTTGGAGAAAAACTAATAAACTAGAATTGATTTTGAAAGAATAATAATTTAAATCATTAAAAGCAACAAGTATCGAATGGAGATCTATGTTTAATACTTCGACACGACATTCGGTAACGAAATTCGGTGTATGTGTACATGAGTTCTTCATTCGTTAAAACGGTGAACTCTACAAAACGAGAGATGAAACAATTTAACAAAATTACATTCGTGAAGAACCAGTTTAGTATTTCATAAGTAAAGTGTAGAAATATTAAAAAATGTAGTTGATCACTTTAATCCGCGAAAAGTTTACATACCATGCATAGTATCGAAGCGGCATACCGACGGTACTGTACCACGTCAATGATAAAGGTGTGGTAAACCTGCACCTGTTTCGAATACAATGCCCATAGATGGTATCAGTTCAATTGTTTAGATGTCTATGCACTATCATATAGTGCAAGAAATATTTTTACCATTTAAAGAAAGCTCTTTAACACATGATTGTATCTATCAAGGAGATAACAATTCAAAAGAAGCTAAACACGTAGTTAAAATATTATTCCTTTATTTCATTTGTAATAATTAATTTCATGAAATGATATTGTGGTTCAACATAGAAAATAGATGTATCAATAAAAATTAAAAAATGCAAGATTGTAAAGGAAACGCAGATGTCAATACATGTAGATAGATGTATAACATTAATTGATTCCGAACCCCGAAAGTGCAAAACTGTGTTACGACAAAAAGATTCAATTAATATTATAATAACGCAATTACAGTTTAATATTAGGTAGAAATTAAATAAATTCTTTACATATACGTAAATAACTGTTCGTCTCAAAAGCTATTGCTTAACATAAAATATTTATAAAGTAGTTGAATTAATGGAACCATTACTGATGCCGAATGAAACTAAATTTTAATTTTATACAAAAATATCGGCAACTTTGTCAATTTTTCAAGATAATATACGTAACTTATGCATTGAAATATATGTAAATTTATATTTTCACGTTCTGTCATTGCAAAGTTTTACCATATTTCGATTGATTTGTAAATATTTGAAAGGTTTAAAAATACTTGTATTCCAGGAAAATGAGAGTACTTATATAAACATCATGTGTCGAGTGTTATACATTTATTGAATTGTTATCTACAAATTACCCAACAAATGAGTGATTAAATACCTAGTAATTTCAAGGAAAATCGTTATAAGCTTTATTATTTTGCCATAATCGGTATTCAAGATCAATATTGTACATCATTTGCATATTAAGTTGCTCGTTCGTGTAGATAATTCTCATATGTAATTATATATCAAATAGAATGATTAAAAAGTGTTTAACGCGCATGAGCTTCAAAGCTGCGAGGACTATACTTTTTATTGATACCTCAGAAAATGGAAAATGTAATTTAGAATAACATAGTTAAATGTAACAACAAGTATTTCTCTATTTACATAGCATCGTCACTGTACGTGTAAGAAGAAGAAATATGAAGATAGTTACGTTACAGTACTTTTTTAAATAAAGAGCAAGACGGGTTTTGTGTATTTACATTTTATGCGACTTTAAACGAGAAAAATGGTCAACGTGTCATCTCGATATAGGTGAATTTTCCGCTTGTTAATTCTCGAGTGCACAAGTACATTGACAATACGATCGGCCAAGGTGTCGACAATGGGGTGCGAGGATCAGAACATATGGTAATACCTGTTCTATAGGCTATTATTATGTGTTCATGGGGATTAAGAGAGCCTAGCACTAAGGGTACAATAATGGGGTTTGCTCTGATGGTTGGGCGTAGGCGCACATCAAGTATTCTCAATGAAACATGCTACAGTGAATCGAAAGAATGAACAGTCCTACATACGTTCGTTCTTGATTTTCAAATCTCTCAATTTATTATAAGTGAATATTATTACAATTT